CCCCCACCGGGAAGATGGGTTCCCTCCCAGATGGTCCTCCCAGAGCTCCCATCTGGTCCAGAGCATCTGGAGCTGCCTGAACCACTTAGCACGCTGGGGAGGTTCTCAGATGCCTCGCTACACATCCTGACAGAACACTCTTTAAAGCTTTGGGAAGTCGATTGAAACCTTTGCCTGAGAAATGGTGGCATCCAAATGAAAATAAACACAGTTCCAGAGATCAGGGCCCAGAGTCTCTGGAAAGGGAAACCATCTGCATCTGGAGAACACTGATTTCATGGAAGAACACGAGCGCTCAGATGGCTACAGAGAGAACACATCTGTGCATTTTTCCCACAAGTCCATCTGAGCGCATGGAAGACCCAGCGGTGTTGGTTTTTAGCCTGGATCCAGCCTGCATTTTCTGCTTTTGGAAACAGCTGTGGCTGAAATTTCTACCAGATCATCCCCAAAACATTTTAGGATATTTAAGTCCCTAAAGATGAGAAATGGTGTCAGAGAGAAAACTTTTAGCCCTTGAGTGAACATAAGTAATGTAAGGACTGAGGCTGCCTCTGCTTGGGACTCTCACAAGTCCTTCTCAGCCAGGGGTATGTGTGTGTCTGTGTGTGTGTGTGTGATGTGTACGCTCTGAGCACTGGTAGGGAGTCTGGCAGGTTCCACCGTATGTAGAGGCCCTTATATCCCATCACTTAGCACAGTCTCAAAGCCATCTTTTTTCTTGGCAACCAATTAATAGTGAATCCAATAAAGCCTTTAAATATGCTCACCATAGAAGAAAATGCCATGGTCTTGGCCTCATGAAAGACCTGTCCACACTAAGCACTCAGGTAAGAAAGCACATAATTAAGTGGCAGATTTGGTGGCGGTGGTTGGAGCAATCAGAAGTGGAGGAAATTCATGTAAATGTAGATGGAGAGTCAAGGAAAGCTTCCTGGAGGAGGAGAGGAGACTGGGCGTTGCCTGTCAGCTGTCAGCCACAGCTTCTCCTGGGCCTCGCTGATTAACAGGTTGATTTGGTGGGAATACTTGGGCTGCCTTTCTACCCTGTCACCCTCTCCTGTTAATAGTCTATGAAAGCTCTGGGCAGAAATGGAACTCAGAGCTTCTGCTGGTCACCCTCCCCTGGCATGGGTTCTCGTTTCTCCCCGGTTATTACACATGAGGATTGGGGTGGAAGTGGCTGCATCTACTTTGCAAAGTGCCCAGCAGCAGGCCCTGCATGGAGTGGTTGCTGTATTTGTCCTGAGGGTGGAGGGGTTGGGAAAAAAGAGGGTGAGGAGGGGAAAACCTGGAGTTACAGGTCACAGGCAGCTGCTGACTATCGTATCACAACCCAGTGCCTGGTAGCTCCAGATGTGGGAGCCTACTGTGCTCCAGCTGCTCCACGTGTCCTATTTTTCACTTATCAAGAACATCCTACAAAATGGCTTTTATCTTCATTTTATAGATGGAAAGTGGAGTCTTGAAAGGTTAAGGCCTAGCTAAACCTAAGTCCCAGTCTGGGCCAGGTTCTAACCCAAGTCTTCCCAGGATTTCATTTAGTTGAGGTGGGTAGGTCTCCCGACCCAAAGCCTCTTCTCTCTTCTCACAATCCTACCTGAGCTCACCTGTGATTTTCTCTGCTATTAAGCCAAAAACAGAGCTCTTCTTATAGCTTCATTGTACATGGCAGAAACAATTAGGCATGGACTACAGGTCACTGGAAATAATTTTGCACCATTTCAGAATTCTAAAGAAAAATGGAGCAGGCTGGGGGGAGTGAATTATGCAGAATATTATTTCATCTGATCTTTGCTTCTCTTAATTGCTCACTTTTAATATCCAAGGCTTCAGATTCGATGTTACACCATATATTTAACTTATTTTATTATTTCCTCCCTTGCTTGGAGCTCTATCACAATATTATTTCTCTCCTGTTACAGCATAATGAATTATAAATCTTCCACTGTGGACCATGCTAACCTCTTCCAAATGTATTTCCTGGATGATTAATCCCAGTCTCTTCCTATCTGAACTTGGACCTGGTAAATAACTACGGTCCTTATTTATACTTGTCTCAAAATCCCACAGTAAATTCAACCGGTTCCTCCACCAATGTTTTATTGCTTTGATCTGTGGACTTGCCCAATGAAACTTCCCTCATGTCCAGGAGGCTGACCTGCAGGAAGCCACGATGTCTGAGGGTAATGCTTAAAGACTGAGCCAGAAGTAAATCCATAGCTAGTGAATTCATTATACAAAGTGCTTTAAAAATCCCCTGATAGGAATTTACACTATTTTCATTATTACTGCTACAGTTACCTTGGCCCACTGAAGACTGACATTTTGATTGATTTATTTTTTTTTGGAAAATAATTTAACACCAGTTTAGACTTGAAGGGTCAACCAAGCAGTCTGGCCATCTTTTTTCCTGTGCCCTCCCAAAAATGTCTACAGAGACGTAGACATTTGGTTAAGACAATCTCTGATCCCCTAACCCTTCAGTCCTCAAGCTCTCCTTCCCATAGTGGCCACTGTCTGGCGAGGCCGGGGAGCTCAATGCCAGACGACCAAGGGCCTGGTGAGGCTTGGCTTGGCTGCGGGGAGTATGGAGAGGCTCCACCATGCCCACTGCAGTGCAGCTTCATTGTCCGCCCTCTTCTTATGTGAAAGGAGAAGACACGATTCTCTTGGACCTGACAAATGCACCTGAGCTGGACATTCCTAGCTGGGGTCCTGGGGGACACCAAGCATTAAGTGATACAGGTCACCTAATGTGGATAAAGTAGTTCACACATGGCCTGGCACCCTAAAAGTGCTCCATCAATGGGAGCTATTCTTTCTCCTCTTGTGAGCTCACATGCTTGTGGAAGAGGGAAACTGAAAATGCTTCGTGAACACCTTTCAGGCCCCTTAGGGCACAGAAACATTCCCCTTAGCCCACCCTCTCCTGCCTCCCTGGTCCCCACTCCTCCCACCTCTACCACCTTGAACTTGGCCCAGAACACATGGGCGTAGCAGTAGTCCCAGGAGATGGTGAGACACAGCTTCCCATGGAAAATAAACACAAAGGGCTGGGGAGGAGAGGCCCATACAAAGCCACACCTTCGAGACCAAGAAGCAAATGCCTTTGGATTCCCTCAGAGCTGTCTAATCCTTGCCCTCTCACACAACTGCATTTGTACTTTTCCAAATGGAAGGGGCTTTGACTTTTGGGTAGAGTTATTTTGGTAAAATGACTTTTAATCTCTGCCCTATAATTCACTCTGCTTAAGGTTTGGACGTTCTAGCTCCTTCTACCTGGCACTGACTCCCCGCGTTTCAGTTTTCAGACTCCCTTTTGGACCAGGCTGCTGAGCTTGCTGGTCTTGCCGAAGCCCAAGTGTCCAGCCAATACGCTGAAGGCTGGAACAATGATTTTATTTTCTGTACCCAACAGCACTAATACCTAGGAAAAATGGGCTATTTTTACAGAATGACATAACGTGCCGCACACATGTTAAGGCACTCCATCTGTTAAATATAGTTCTTTCTATTTTGAAACTGAAAGTGCTGGCTGTAATCTTGGAAAGGTGGGACCCTGTGGATGCCAGGAGCACATGCCCGATGGGCACGGCAGCCTTCGGTAGCCACCCTTCCCCTTATGGGGAGGTTGGGCCCCCCTGGGGGTTCCAGGGCCCCTGCCCTCTGCGCGGGCCTCACCCTATGGGACCAGGCACTGACACAGAGTCTGTGATGGGACCTGTTTGAGGGCAGACCTCTGGGATATGCCCTTAGGGTGCTGGTGACATTTGGGACACTGTCTTGGAAGGCAGCTGGGGACAAAGGAGAGAACTCAGCGCTTCCACAGAGACCAGGGTACCCTGTGAATGTTTCGATGGCCTGCCCTTCACCCACTCGCCCAGAGAGTGAGGACATGGATGCCAGCCGGCAGCCCGGCCCCCATGGTACCTGCGGGGACGATGACCCTCCTCTCGTTGGTGGTCATGTTGGGAGGAGGGGGGCCGCTCTTCTCGTCCACGTAGCTGTTGTAGTTCATGGCATTGGACTCGCCTCCGCCAACCAGCTTGCTGCATTTGCTAACGCTGCAGTCCACCGGAGACTCCCTAGATGGAGAGGAGACAAAGCCAGGGAGTCATCACTGCCAGTGGGGCCCCCACAGCCCGGGAGCTCACCCCAGCTGACCGCTCAGACAACAGGGAGCCCCTCCCCAGCTCCACCAGGTGCAGGATGCTGGTGAGGATGCTGGTGAGAATGCTGCCTTATTTCTACCTCCATGCTGCCGCCAGAGTTTCCTTCAAATCGCAGCCTGGTCCTATAATTACGGTACTTAACTCTTGGCAGCGCCTGTGGCCCTCAGACTAGAGCCTGGGCTTCCCAGTACAGGGCCGCAGCTCCCACCTGCCTGCGGCTGACACTTTCGCCTTGTTGCCAAGCAAACTACACCTGGCTCCCCAGAGTGTTTCTGGTCCTAGGACTGTCATGCATGTGACTGTTGCTTGGCAGGTGCCCTGTCCCCTTGCTGGATGAGGGAGTCTCCTGAGATGGTGACATTACTTTTCTGTACCCTCGATGTAGATTGTAGCCAGCTCTGTACAGAACCTTGTACAGGAGATGAGCGATGGATGTTTCCTGAGCGGATTATTTCTATTGCGTGTATATCATTTCAACACATTTTTCATACACTGTCCTATTTGAACTTCCCAATAACCCTCCAAGACAGGCCTGGCCCAGGTTACTAGCTCCTTGTTATGGTTAAGGAAATTGAGAGGTGAGGTGACTGGGCCAGGGTCACACAGCTAGTAGAGGTGAAAACAGGACTCATCTTTAACGTTAAGCTTCCCTATCAAAACACACATGCGGAAGAGCTGGCAGCTGCGTGGAGGAGGTATAGAATCCAAGAACTTCAGCCTGAAAGAGAGGCTGTGGCTTTGTGGCATTTCCCAGCCCTGGCCACCAAGCTCACAGAGGAAGTACAGAGAGGTGCCCAAGGGACAGAGCCAATCATCCAACCTGGTTTTGGAGTACGTAGCCCAGTTAGCACCTGGAATTTTGCAAGAGGGTGCTGAGAGGCTCAGCTCAGCAATGAGCAGCCACCTGGAGATCTGAGCTAATACCCACTTGTGGCCACCTGGTGCCCAGAGCATACGCACAGCCTCAAAGACCCTCTCAGCATGCCCAGGGAAGTGCCATCCTGCCATGCCCTAGCTTCCACTCAGCCACTCGGCAGGAGCAGGACCAAAGGAGGTGACTGGAAGGCCAAGGAGAAGCTGCCGCTGCTGTTCTACAGAGCAGGGAGCTCCGGTCTTGGCTACCTGGGAGACCAGTCAGTTCTCTGAAGAGCTCCAAACCAGCCTTTAGACCAAGGGGTTCAGATAAGGTTCAGATTACAGCCGCCCAACTCTGGGCCGCATAACCTCTCCGACCCTTCTGAAGGCCTGGCCACCGCCTACCTCGCTCTGCTGTGGTCAGGGACTGACCATCATGAGGTCTCAAGCGGCAGGGTCGTGCCAGATAAGGTTTCTCTCATCTTGCAACTTGGAGGCAGTAGCTCCACACACAGAGAGAGCAGCCACTAATGCAGAAGAGGGAGAACAGCCCTGCAGGGGGGACTCGGGCAGGGCGGGGGAGGCTGAGCACATTCAATAACGAAAATTAAATGAATTTGTTTCTTAATCTGAAAGGAAAAAAATATTGAAGATCACTTATCATAGCTGGGAGATAAATGCTCCACTGAGATATTAGAAGTCAGACGGTAATTTTTTCCTGATGTCTTACAGAGGGGAACATGGGCTGAAAATGAAAATAAGATGTATAACTTACACATGTTAGAATTTAAGGTTTTAGTATTCGCCTACTGTTTTTCCAGGCAGAGAACCAAGAGCCAGCCGTCAGAGCCCCAGACTGTTGAAGGTTTAATGTCCCCATGGCAGTGCGAGGAGGCAGTAGCTCATCAGGACTTTTCACCAGGGGTTGGCCTTTGCCTTCTGCTGTTTAAGGACTTGGCCTGAGATGAAGCCGTCCCTGAAAGACGTGGTCCTGGGTCTGACCTGGGCTACGGCCAAGCTCACTGGGCTCCTCATGGCCAACGGCAAGGGGGGGTGTGCACACATACACACACACACCCCAACACACACATGCACACCCATGCACGCACATGCACACATGCACACCCCCATGCACACACATACACGTGCATGCCCCAACATGCACGCATGCACACCCGTGTGCACACTAATACACATATACACATGCACACATATGCATACCTCAATGCACACATGCATGCACACTCATACACCCCCTCAATGCACACATATATATTTATGCACATACGCATACCCCAACATGTACACACACATACATGCACATGCATACACATGCACCACGCACAAAGCCACCAGGGTCTGGCAGCCTTTTTCGGCATACTTGTCCATTATGAAACAACTCAAGTGCAGCAGAAGTGGGAGGATTAAGTTGGCCTTCAACCAAGAAAGCAACGTTTTCATTGGCTAGGATCTCTGTGGCAGAGGGTGGGGTTGCCAGAGTGCCAGGCCATGGGCAGGGGAGGGAGACCTTTCAGCCCAGAGAGCAGTGTGTCCAAGGGCGGGGTGGCAGAAAAGGAGCTCCTCTGTGGGCTGCTCTCCCCTTTAGAAACGCTGGGGAGATGAGTTTCAAAAAGCTCTTTTCCACATCAGCCAGGCTTCTGGGGATTTCAAGCCCCAAACTGACCCCTTGCCATGCTGAGGTGAGAAGACAGAAGCTCAGAGACCCTTAAAATGATAACCCTTTAGGCACCTGTGGCAGGGCCAGTCCCTTGTGCCAGGAGTAGAGAAAAATGTTTGAAAAAAAGGAAACCTTTGGTAAAAGCTACCGAGTATGTTGCCTGGTAAGAAGAGGGGCTGTGGGCACCACGGTGAGATAGGCACCTGCTGGGGAGGTAGGTCCCGAGGAAGCAAGAGCGCCAGGCCCTGAGGACAACATCAGAACCGTGGTGAAGACCAGGTTCTCCTGCTGGGCGACTGCTGGGAGCTGCACAGAGGCTGGACCCTCACCTCCTATGCCATGGAAACTCTCATCTGTCCGATTCCTCCTCTTTCCTTCCTTCAGCCCCTGGGTACCCGCCTGCTCCCCAGCTGGGCCCCGTCCTCAGTCCTAGACCCCTCAGCCAGGATCTGCACAGGGGTGCCGTCGCCACTGGCCTACCACATGCCCCTCCATTCCCAAGTTCTCAGCCACTCTGCTTCCTCCAGACAGTGTCCTTCTCCCGTGTGGCCCCTGGGCTCCACAGCTACTGCTAAGGGTGGGAGTGGGGGGTCCAGGTGAAGCAGAGCATAAAGGCTGCTCTTTAAGGAGGCAGCCGGCGCCTGGGAAGGGGCCAGACGAAAACAAGAGGGGAGGGGGGGAACATAGACAGAGGGGAAGGTGTCTGGCCATTCTGCTTGTCTGCACTATCGGCTAATTTATACTGAAACCTGCACTTACAGCTAGCATGGGGGTGGGGCCCACAGGCAGCTGATAGTATGGGGGCAGGTGACGAGAGAGTCTGGGGCTGGCACAATAGAGCAGGGAGGAGTCAGTGGCTCCAAGGGGTGGCCTCAGACCATGTACATCTCAGCCGTGGCCCAGAAAGCCACAGCAGGGAGGCCACAGCAAAGGGGGTGAGGACTTTGCTGCCTGGTCCTTTATTTTCACTATTGGATGTAAGCTCTCTACTCCTCTGGTCTATTTTTGTGCGTTCAGTGAACATTGCTTTACAAAGACTACTGCTGATTTCCAAAACTGCAAACTGTTAAGCCATTTAAAACAAGATGAGAAATCTCTGGTATTTGAATAAAAGGAGATTTCAAAGGCTGCTCCCAAAGAGCACCACTTCAGACTAAACAAACATGTTCTCTACCTTCCCATTGCACTCAGGGTGACTTCACTCAGGGTGTGTCACCCCGATCCACAAAGCTACAGCCCGGGCTCACCATCAGTGGAAGTCCAACACTCACACCGATCATGTGGTCTCAAGGCAGCCCAGGCCACACGGCTGCATTGGGACCTGTCGTGTGAGTCTTCCATGTAATGTGTGTACATTGTACAAAATTAAGCAAATCTGTGTTGGCCTTAGGATTTCTGGAGGATCCATGCACAGATGCCTGCACGTGATTTTTTGGTTTTGAAAGGAAGACGAAATAAGTCAAAAGCAAATTTCAAGAGAAGAAAGGAAATCACCCAAAATAAAGCCATCACCCTGACCCAATAGCTGGTTTAATTTTTTTTTTTTTTAATCTTCACCTGAGGATATTTTTTCATTGCTCCTGAGAGAGAGAGAGAGAGAGAGAAATAGAGAGAGAGAGGGGGAGAGAGAGACATCAACTGGTTGCTTCCCAAGCAAGCCTACCTAGACTGGGGCCAGGAATAGAGCCTGCGACTGAAGTACGTGCCCTTGGCCGGAATCGAACCTGGGACTCTTCAGTCCATGGGTGAGTGCTCTAACCACTGAGCCAAACTAGCTAGGGCCCCTATTGCTAGTTTAATCTCCATATGTAGTAGATGCTCATAGCTTCTCTGGAATCCTGTGGACGGCTGCCCAACCAGTAATGTGTAACATGCCTCATATTGCAAGGTTCCGACCATAGGAAGCCCTTTAGGAAGGTGCTTTGCAGTCAGAGAGCAGGAGTTGCAGGGTGTGTGAGGCTGATCTTCCCGTGTATGAAGTGTGATGTGTCTAGGTATCTAATAAGGTCTTCCAGATCCTGGTGGGCGGAGTCACACTGAATGCAGGTCCCACAGGCCAGGCACACAAGGCGAGCAAGCCCTTGCATTTCCTCTCCATAAACTGACACTTTCCTCCCCTAATGTTTTCTCCCAGCCCATGGTTGAGACAGGATGCAGCTGAGTTATTTGCAGACCGCAGCTTGGATCGAGTTGCTGAAGTCTACATCCAACCCAGAACCTATGGCCATGCTGTTTGAAGAGCAACTCACCCTAACAGACACAACCACAACAGGAAGAGATGGAGAAAGAGAGTGGACCTCCCACAGCGTGGCCAAGCTAGGCTTTCTCGGGCTCCTCAGTCTCCCCATTGGACATTTGTTCAAATGTCTTGCTACGTGGT